ATGAAAGAGAGAGGGATGAGGTGAAAGAGCCCACTAGTGTGAGGGTTCAGATACACACGTTTAGATCACATCAACACTTCAAAACACTGCATTAAAGACCACACAATGCTACGTGCTAACCGCTAGCCTTCAATGCTACTAGCTTTGCATAGGCTTCAATGCAAAAGCGTTAGCTTCAGTTAGCTTAGCCCATGCTTGGCTATTTGTTTACAAACAGCTCAAAAATGGCGCTGGCGAATTGCGCTTGCGCACTTGACAGTTACCTCCGGAAAGGGTTTCTTCGAACTTCCGGGTTACGGCTGTTACTATGGCAACGTACCCTGCAATAACTAGCGTGTGCTTATACACAGTCAATGGTTATACACAGTTTATGCCCTTCAGGTGAAATGGCGGCGCCTTTCACACTGAACAACCAAAACGCACTCTTTAGACTCTTATCTTTATAGCGCTGACCACTCACTCGACTCGTTCGCGTGAGGTAAATTAATGTACAGATTTACTGCAATTAATTCCAAATGACGTTATTGCAGATCTCGGCGGATCTAAGCACTTAGTCTATTTATACAGACAAAAACACACGTGGATTTGACCACAATTCTAACTTGATCAAGATTTTTTTATTCTCTCCCCAAAAAAATAGCATTCGGAAACTCTCTGAGCACCGCGTTTCAAGTTCACTAGTTTTTTTTAGTGAATAAATGGCAGAGGACTATCAGTTAGCTAATCTGATATTCTCAACCCAGGGAGATGAATAGCATAGTTGAATTTGGAAGTGGAACACGCACTATACAAATCAAGCTATGAAGGCCTTTTACAAGAAGGAAATGAGGAACACGCTCATTTTCCTTCGTGCGCTTTTCTAGAGCGACTTATTTTGTCTCGGTGGACAATTCTTAAATGTTTAACTCGAGTTTCACTACATTCATTCAACACGCTGGTATGCCACAATAAATGTATCCAGTACCACAACAACTCTGTTTCTCTGTATCTAATCTATTTTTCCGGATAAAAATAGAGAAAATTCACAATAATATCTTGGTGTCATTTAATTTTTTTAAGCCAAATCTTTGCCAGCTATTTTTTCTCCACCATATGTAAGGAATTTAACTCATTGAATTTTACAATTAAATTAATTATTCAAAAGACCTGATTAGAACTGATTTCAAATTTGATAGTTTACACTGTATCAACGACTAGTCCAGCGAGAGGTTAACGTCCGTGTATATTAACAATTTGAATATTTGTATTTTCCCTGGCCATGGGTTAATATATGCTTTTGATAAGTTATAAGCTACGAGCTAGGTATCGTGATCTTGGCAGAGTTTTAACTTTACAAAATTTCACGACACCAGACAACACTTCTTTATAAATGAAACAAGAATTTATTGGCTATTTTAGATTACATTAAACTAAGCTAAAACACACACATACAGTTCTGAAGAATGAAAGTTAACGGAGTTTGTATGAAGTTCCCAAAGTTCTAACTCATTTTCCACGAGTTCTTTTAAATTCAACCTGAAAGAGTCACAAAGCAGAGATTTATCTTACGTTTACTGCTAAAACTCAATTCACCAGTTCAGCAAGAGATGAAAAGATTTTGCCTCTTACTTGCGTTTGCTGACAAGCTTCCTGGTTGGCTGCTTTAGGGAATCCCGGCTTTTGATTGGTCGCTGGTCGGGCGTCTGGATGACGTAGTTTCTGGGAATTCCCTTCAGAGATTGGTTGGTTTCTTGATGACGCAGAGGCTTGAGCAGTTCTTCTGAAAAGTCTGAGTTTGCAAGACTTTAGGCTTTTGAAGATCTCTGGCAGTCACAAAGTTTCAACTGAAGTGTTTGAGTTTTGGAGTCTCGCTCGTGATGTTACGGCATGGGAGCACTTTGTAGCGCGGTCACCAAGGCAAAAAGCCAAAGGTCTAGAGAGAGAGAGAGTGAGTGAGCGAGCCACGAGGGCTTTGTGTCCATTTTTAAGCAGGCTGACTTTGGTCCGCCCCACGACGCGATCTTCCAATCGGACGCTGTTGCAGGGCTTAGCCACGCCCTGTGTGGTTCCTTTTTCGTGCACAAGTCACATGCTCCCGTGGGGAGTATTTCTGCAAGTTTTAAATAACTTCTGATAAAAGTATTATTACCAGAGATTGATACCGAATATAAAATTTTCACTAACAACAATGTTCGGCGAATAAAACAAGCTTTCATTCAAGCTCAAGTATCGGGTAGTTTGCATACACATTAATAATCTTATCTACTAAAAGGAAAAGTTGTAAGGTAAAGATTAAGATATCATAGGTTTCAATAACACATCAAACAGAAAGCATAGAAAGGCACAAAACATATTATTTATTGTTAGCCAGTAGGCTATCCGTGGTACCCGCGATGTCGAACAGTCGGGTTAGACTCTCACTGGTGAGAGTGCATGTGATTCCAGGGATTGCAGGGAAATGCTATGGATATTTTGTAGTGTGCAGAGAATTTCAGACTGACCTAGTGATGATGGCAGG